TTTCCGACCGCCCTAGCAACTTAACCAAGCGCAATAAAATTGCTTCAAGGCGTTTAGATTGTTGCATTTTCACCGCTCTTCCCAACTATATATTTACGGTTTCCGAAAACCGCCTGAGGACAAAGAGGGGAGCGTCTTGGTACAAAAAGGCGTACCTGTCGAAGATGTCGCCGCACTAAAACCATCATATCTCGATCTGTACAGCGTATTCTGAATTGCGGAGGACATCAATCGAAAGGGCGCGAAAAGTGCTGTCTGTCCAACGAGTTTCAGCTTTTGAGCAGCTTTGCCGCGCCTGCTAGGGCGGTCGGAAAAAAACGTCTCGAAATTGTCCGCCGCCTCCAACAACCTCGAAGGAATGCTACCAAACGACCCCCAAATGAGTTGCGAGCGATTTGGCGTCGAGTTGTTCGAACTGCTCGAAGATGATGTTCATCTTCTGATTTGGTCAAAAAAAGCCTAGTCATATACTGCCGAAAAGCACCCCAGACAGCACCCCGAAAGACACCCCAGGCTGATTTCTGATTTACATAGCGTTTTTCATTAACATATAACAACTTCCGACGAGTCAGAACGGCAAACGAATCAACTCGTTGACGAGTCGATTCGTTTCGATTCTGATTCGTGGGCAACGAATCGATTCGCCGACGAATCAACTCGTCTGACGAATCGACTCGTATGCGAGTTGATTCGTTTTGAATCGGATTCGTTCCCAACGAGTCAAATTCGCTACGAGTCAAATTCGCTACGAGTCAAATCGCGATTCGAATCAACTCGCTGGCGAATTGAATCGCCGAAATTTCCATTCGCCGGTTGCGAATCGGGACTTATTCGAATCAACTCGCTGGCGAATCAACTCGTATAACAACCCTAGTCCTGTCGTTCGGTTTTAAGGGCCTGTTAACAGAGAACTTTAGGGAATTGGATTGGAAAGTCGAAGCAAGGCTTAGAAAAGCAACAAAAAGCGCTTTCTGAGGTTATTTTTTTCGTTTTTACGATTTTCCTTGATGAAGTTGCATTTTCGAAAGCAAACTAGGTAAAATCCCTAACCCATACCATAATTCGGGCCGGCCCGCTCGCTCGTCAAATTTGCCGTCATCGGGTCGTGGTTGAAGGTGAAGCACGTGCCGTAGATCGGGTCAAGGTGGTTCGAAAAATCGCTAAAAAAAGATGAGGAAAAGATGAAAACTGTGAAATTTTACATTATAGGGTGGTGAAAAATGTTGAAAAACGATACTTGTTAATGTCACAATCGCGTCCGTTGAACGAGCAGCGGGTGATGAACTCGGATTTCGTGTAGCTCATCTGAAAAAAAATCAATGAAAGGTGAGGGATACGGTAGAAAAGGCAGGCATTACCTGCGCCTTTTCCAGCGGGGTCAGCTTGTCGAGGACGAAGATGACGTTCTCCTTCGCTTGCGTGTTTAGGGCTACCGGGTCGTTCGCCTGAAAAAAGGCTAGTTTCCTCAATGATCTCTGCTAGCCTGCCCTCACTTTCTCAATGATCTCTGCTAGCCTGCCCTCGATTCCTCAATGATCTCTGCTAGCCTTCCCCGCTTACCACATAATTATAAGCGCGCTCCGTCTCCTCCTTCTTTTTCTGCACCGGCGACATGGTAGTGGTAGTCTGCAGAGCCCAAAACGGAATCACACGATCTTCTAGAAATCGATTTCGAAACGTTCAGATATGGATCAAGGCTTCAGCGTCCCTTTAAAACGTACCAATGGCCGTTCCGTTGCCCGGATCGATGCGTACACACATCCGAATCGGCATCGCACACAGGCAGTCGACCGATCCGGTCCCGTCGGTGTACTCGCAGTTTCCGAACGTCACGCAACTAAAGGCGCCGTTTTTGAGGGCAATCTTGCAAAGAATCCTTGGGATTTCTCCCCCACCTGGTGCATTTGTTCTCCTTCCACTCGGTCGGCAAGTAGCACGGCCACACAACCCCGTTCTTTTTGTTGTAGAAGCAGAGGCATGTGCTGCGATTCGTGTCCTGAAATGGGGTGGCTGAATGGTAGTGCGCTTGATTTCAGGCTCAAGGCTCGGGTTCGAGTCTCCGCCGGGGCGGAGACCCGAAATTGCTTTTTGCTTTGCGTGTTGCGTGTCGCTGTCTCAACAGAATTTTTTGAAAATCCATAACCAAAAAATTATATTCTCGCTTTCACAGTCCCTTCGATTGAAGCCTGACGGAGTACGGTAAAGATACGGAAGGCTACGATACTGTACTTTATCTGGGACGGCTGTCCACTCCTCGTTCAATTTCTCGCAATTCGTATACACCGCCAGCAACCCGTCGTAATTTGAGAGTATCTTCTCGTACACCCTTCGATTGTGCCGTCGGACTCGCACCTAAAAATTGTTGAAAATTCCATTTTTTATGGTTTTATTGATATTTTTTTTTATATCATCAAATCTATGAAATTTCGCTTGTTTTTCTATTTTTCTCAAAAGAAACCTTTCCCGTATTTTCCTGATCATTCTCAGACTTCGAAATTTTCGTCGGCACCTCAATTTCGAAACATCTAAAATTGACTGTAATTTTTCTAAAATTAATTCCCCTACTTTTCAGTCCCATTATGGCAGATGCAGTCGTTTTGGGCGGAAAATCCGGTGTCGCGCGTACACCGGCCCCACCTAAATTATTTTTAGGCGCTTTGAAAGCTAGGAATCAAAGAGAAACCAAAAAAATACGCACCAATCGCACATGCCACAACCTGCTACGCTCCACTCCTCATAACGCCCGCAGTACGACGAGATGCCGATCGGTTCTGAAGTATAGGGTCGTAGAAGCGAGGGGTTAGGCTTAGGTTTAAGAGGCTTCGGCTCAGGCTTAAGCCTAGGCTCAGGCTTCGGCTTAGCTTAGCATATTTAGGTGTAGTTAAGCTTAGGCCTAGGCTTAGGACAGGCTTAGGCTAGGCCCAGATTTAGCCCTTGGCTGAGCTTAGGCTCCGGCTTAGTTTTGGGCTTAGGCTAGGCTTACAAGGGAAGGGCACGTGGACGAAGTGGAATTTCACAAAACCCTCGCGGCTACCCCCAGGTAATCGACTATGGAGATCACGATGCCGCTTTCCGATTTTCCTGCGGAGGCCTGTGGACAGAGATACAGCACTTCCGGAAAATGACGATTTGCATGCGAAAATTAGAATCCGGGGAAGCTTTATTAGGCTCGCCCATAAGTATGGAATCATCGGTCGAATGGTCGATTGGTAAGCAACTCGCTTGATAGGATACTGACGAGGGTACGGATCCTCTCACGATTTTTTCGTTTTGCTTTTTGAAGAGTGATTTTCGAACAAGGTTTCATTGCTATTTTTGCCGCGATAACTCTAAATTTTTAATTAAGACGTACGTTATTGCAGAGTAACCAAATCTAAAATAATTTCACAAACTTTATAAAATTTTCGCCTGATGGGAGGATGGCTGCCCATTCTCGCGAATATTTTTTTTAATTTTCAATTTTTTTGGTGGGATAGCTAAATCTATGATCTTCATCACTCTAAAAAATTTTGTCGAAGTCAAGGAAATTCTGGACTTGTGCTAAAAGTTCCTGTCAAAAAGCAAAACGAAAAAATCGTGAGAGGATCCGTACCCTCGTCAGTATCCTATCAAGCGAGTTGCTTACCAATCGACCATTCGACCGGTGATTCCATACTGATGAGCGAGCCTAATAAAGCTTCCCCGGATTCTAATTTTCGCATGCAAATCGTCATTTTCCGGAAGTGCTGTATCTCTGCCCACAGGCCTCCGCAGGAAAATCGGAAAGCGGCATCGTGATCTCCATAGTCGATTACCTGGGGGTAGCCGCGAGGGTTTTGTGAAATTCCACTTCGTCCACGTGCCCTTCCCTTGTTAGGTTAGGCTTAGGCCTTGGCTCAGGTCCAATTCTTAGCTTAAATTTGGCTTTCAATTTTTTTTGGTTAATTTTTACAGATATTTCTGCCCTACCCAGCCCATCGGGGGTGATGCTGACGCAGAGATCGGTGCGATTCTCTGGGGGTTCTTTGGTGTTGAGGGAGATTCTGAGAGGGGCACGGCCGTCGACCTGCAATTACGGCATATAGCTGACGGATACATCAATCACAGCTAGTGCAACGGGAGAAAATTACTCGAATATCGCTATGCTATGCCACGGGATGTTGCCATTGAGGTGCAGGCTAGCAGAGGTCATTGAGGAAGAGAGGGCGGGCTAGCAGGGATCATTGAGGAAGTGGGAGCAGGCTAGCAGAGATCATTGATGAAGAGAGGGCAAGCTAGCAGAGGTCATTGATGTAATGATACCCACCCAAACTGCGTCCCCAGTGACAACACAAAAATGCCCATGGCAAATACAGGGCCGTGGGTCCCGGGCTGAAGCATCCCGAACGGCTACCGTATCCACAAGACCACAGGACGCGGCACTCCAATCGACAGCTGGCCGGCAGTGCCAATATAAGTTATTTGCCGGCAATGAGGCGCAGATCTGAAGAGGTTTTGGACTTGAGGATTTGGGTTTAAAGGGGCAGAGAAGTCTCTATCCGGCCTTAGGCCTTATCCATCGGGTTCAAAGGGGCAAAGAAGTCTCGAGATGGCCAAAAACCGTGACTTACACATTGTTGATGGCCATCTGGATCTGGATAGTAGTCGCTTGCATCGTTCTGTTTACAGTAAGTCTGAAAAAAATGGCGGTGAAGCTTGGAGAGGCATTTAGTCTGAATTTTGTAGTTTGCAGTTTGTAGTAGTCTGTAGGCTAATCTGCAAAAAAATTTTTCCAGAAATTCGGAAATTTGTGTAGTTTGTAGTTTGTAGTCTACCAGCAAGCCAGCTCCAATCTGAGGCTGTTTGTATTTTGTATTCCTTAGGGTAGCCTATAGTTTGTTGGCCGTGGTCTGTAGTTTGTAGCTTATGAGCGTGAGAATCACTCTTTCTCTCGTTTATAGCATATTTTTTTGTAGTCTGTAGTCCGTAGCCTTCAAATCAAGCAAAAACAGACCGATGCAGCGCTAGGAATCGAACTGTCGCCTCCAGCCTCTGGCAGAGCTCGAACTAGCCGCGGCGACTCGAGCTGCTTCGCTCGCATCGCTTTATTGAGGGATTCTAACTAAAAAATGTTTTTCTTGTGGATTTTCGCTAGGCTCTACCGTATCCTTGACCCCGCCGAACTCGAGGGCCTTCGACGTCTTGTAGGGGTTCAAATTGCAGACGGTGACGGAAGGGAAATCAATATCTTTGTACTTGATCTCGACATTGACGATGATGTCATTCCTGGAATTGGAGACCTAGACTTCGTTTAGGTTTACTTTAGGCTTAGGCTTGGCTTGGCTTAGGTTTAGGCTTAGGCTTAGGTTAGACAGGCTTTGGCCGGTGCTTAGTTTAGGCTTAGACTTTGGCCTAGGCTTAGGCTTGGGGTTGGCTTCCGCAATACTCATCTCCTGAACTTGACGACGATGAGCGTGGCCTGGTAGGCGAACACGGAGAAGCATACAAAAAATAGTACTAGCCACAATGCTCGTCGACATCCGCTTGAAACGTAGGCTCGAGGTAGACCATGGGCACTGAAAAAAAATTGACGTGGGCTTAGGTTTAGCTTAGGATTAAGCTTAGGCTTGGGCTTAGGCTAGGCTTAGGCTTAGGCTTAGGCTAGGCTTAGGCTTAGGCTTAGGCTTAGGTTTAGGCTGAGGCTTAGGCTTAGGCGTAGCTTAGGCTTTGGCTTGGGCAACGTTTAAATCATTGTCTTTACCTGGTATGCTCGGCAAAATCGATGAAATCCGCGCCGATCCGCTTCCGCAGCGGCCGTTTTTTGTACATCTTTAGATACTATTTACTTACACGCTATAATTATTAGCATTATACTGCAAATTAAACAATAAAAACTAAACTTTTAAAATCCCAATGACCAGAAATACCCTAAAAGAATAAATGCATACGCAGGGCTGAGGATAATTGCATCGCAAGGGGCACCCGACCCCCGGATGCGCCAGAAAAAAGCAAAAGCTTATCGAGACAAGGGGGGCTCTTTGGGTTTCAAATGGGCTTCCAGAGGGTCTAATCTTGTATCTTAAGCGGGCCCTATAACTTGTATAGAACGCGGCACACCTAATAACACGGCGCTGACAAGAGTACTGAAGCGGAACCCCCGGCATAAAGCCTGCCTCTGGATCCAGCCAAAAACATCCGGCATTATTTTTTGGGCTTACCCGAGGCTAGACTGCCAATAAAAGTATTTTTTTTCAGGGGGTTGCATTGATAAAAGGCTGAAAACTCGTTTTAAAGGAGCTAGGAAGGCTAAAAACTTTGTTGAAATTGCGCTAAAATGGGATATTCCGTATTTTAAAGGGTTAGTCAAAAATGCCTTTTAAAGGGCCGTAGAAGTCAATATTTGATCTTTGCCACCCTGGGGTGTTTGACCCGACAGCGAGGGGAAGGGGGGGAGGTGAAATTCTAGAGGACAAGGCACCCGAGAGGAGAAAAGGGCGTTTCGGGAGGCCGAAGCCCATGCATACGGTACGACCAACATTTCCGAAGGGCACCACACACACACGACAAGAAGAAGAAGAAGACGGAGGAGGAGACGTGTGACGGGCTGAGGGGGATGGTGACAGCTACGCGATGCAACAGTGGACGGGCGTGGCGTGAATGTTATAATTTGCAGCGAGAGGGCATCTTCGAAGCTTGGGCTTAGACTTAGGCTTGGCTTGAGCTTGGCATAGGCTTGACTTGGGGTTGGGCTTAGGGTTAGGCTTAGGCTTGGGGCATAGGCTTAGGCATAGGCGTGGGCTTAGGCTTGAGCTTAGATTCAGGATTAGGCTTATGTTTAGCGTAAGCTTAGGCTTAGACTTAGGCTTAGGAGCTTAAGCTTGAGGGTAGACAGACTTAGATTAAGCTTAGGCTTAGGCATAGCTTTACCTTAGGCATGGGCTTGGCTTACGCTTAAACTTAGGTCCAGGCTTAGGCTTCGGCATGGCTAAGCTAGGCTTAAGCTTAGGCTTGGACTTACAAACTACTTACTTACTTGTTAGGCTTTACAATTTCCGTTTGTTTTTGTTTACAATTTATTCCTCAATACACCCGTACACAAATCCACATGAGGCAGTAAAATCTCTGGCATAATCGGTCGCCTAAAACGTTTTGGAAGCTTCACGTCGTGAAAACGGCACTAGTTTTCGGCGTCCTCTCCGAAAAGGCCCTTCTCAGCTGCTTCTGCCAGCTCGGCTTCAGTTGGCTTGGCTGGAAAAAATGCTAAAAATCTGAAGGTTCGTATCGAACCTTGCTCGACTCGGTACACGAGGCGCTGGCGGATGGTTTTGGCATTTGGGCGGTTCTCATCACGGCTGTGGCAAATTCTGAAACAGTCATTTTCGAAGTTTTTACTTCCGCAATGATCTCTGCTAGCCTGCCCTTGCTTCCTTAATGACCTATGCTAGCCTGCTCTCTCTTCCTCAATGACCTCTGCTAGCCTGCCCTCGCTTCCTTAATGGCCTCTGCTAGCCTGCCCTCGCTTTCCTCAATGACCTCTGCTAGCCCGCCCTCGCTTCCTCAATGATCTCTGCTAATCTGCCCACGCTTCCTTAATGACGTCTGCTAGCCTGCCCTCTCTTCCTTAATGACCTCTGCTAGCTAGTCCTGAACTTACTCCCATTCGTGATCCCCGGAGCCACAGATCGCTCGATTCGGGTGACTTTCCGATTCTTTACTTTGTCTCGAATCGTTCTAAATTTCAGGTTTTAGAAAAATGGAGTTTACAAACTTGTTAACGACAAAATAGATGATCGGGTAGATGCCGCTATTGAGGATCCACATGAAATTGAGGCCCATGTAGGACCACAGGCTGTCGGGGAGCAGGATCTAAATTTGGGCTTAGGCTCACTTAGGTAACAAAGATCTCTCTCTCTCTGTCTCACTCTCTCTGTCTCGCTCTCTGTCTGTCTGTCTGTCTGGTCTGTCTGTCTGTCTGTCTGTCTGTCTGTCTGTCTGTCTGTCTGTCTGTCTGTCTCTCTCTCTCTCTCTCTCTCTCTCTCTGTCCCTCTCGCTCTCTCTCTCTGTCCCTCTCGCTCTCTCTCTCTCTTTCTCTCTCTCTCTCTCTCTCTCTCTCTCTCCCTTACCTGATAATTATGCCAAAATACGTTCAGCACCGTACAATACACCGTAATCACCAGAGCTTGAATCAATATTTTCATCTCCACCCGCGCATTTTCGAGGCTTTTGAAGCGGCGTCTCTATAAATTTTTCATTTTCTACAGTAACTGGTTTTTAATGGAGCTTAAGTGGGTGCAGCGGCACCCGCTGTCATGGTCCAAAACTCCTACCGTCTTGCACAGGATGATCAACACCCCGGCGTAGAAGAAGGCGGCCAAGAAGATGCCGCCCACCTCGATCACCATTTCCACCTTTTGGACGACCCATGAGTATTCTAGTGTGTAGTCGTAGTCCCAGCTAAATGATGGAATTTGGCGTTTGTAGTTTCAATATACACCCACGAAAATCAACCTATTTTTAAAAGTAGTTTTTTAATTAAATTATTCAAGGAAGACGTTTTCATAGCTTTAAATTGCACTGTACGCATTAATAATCACCTGTACGCCTCGGGAAAGTAGATGATGCTCGCCCAGGGGGAGGACAACGCCAACATGTACAGTGAGCACCAAAAGCCGGCGAAACCGAGCCAGCACTAAATAGGAAAATTGAAGCGAGAGAGAGACAGAGAGAGAGTGAGAGAGAGAGAGAGAGAGAAAGAGGGGAGAAAGAGTGAGAGATAGAGAGAGAGAGGGAGAGAGGCAGAGAGAGACAGACAGACAGACGGAGAGACAGAGAGAGAGGGAGAGAGACAGAGACAGAGAGAGAGAGTGATAGAGAAAGAGATAGGGTGAGAGATTGCAAGAAAGGGAGGGAGGGAGAGAGAGACAGACAGACAGAGAGAAAGAGAGAGAGAGAGCGAGAGAGAGAGAGAGGGAGAGAGAGAGAGAGAGAGAGAGGAGAGAGAGAGAGAGAGAGAGAGAGAGAGAGGGAGGGAGAGAGAGAGAGAGAGAGAGAGAGAGAAACTCACTATGGTACCGCCAGGCGAAAATAGCCGCCTATCCCAATGCGGCGAGGCGAGCTGCACGAAGCGGTTCAGCGCCAGGATTATCGTCAAAATTGCGTAAGCCACGTAAAACGGCGTGGCAAGGACTCCCATAACCTACAAAATTTAAAATATACTTCAAACAAGCAACAACAAAAGGGAATTTTGAATATTGTGATATTTCTACACTACTCCACAAAATTGTTAATATTTCGATACCTTTGGCCAAACAGGGCCCCAAGTCGACTGGAATATCGTGAAGAACCCGGTTACGGTATGCGGAAAGCACTGTATCACATCTGCTACCCCGATGAAGAACATGAACTTGTAAGAGGTCATCCGGATCAGCTCCCGATCGTTGGCGATTCCCTAAGAGTAGTAGTAGATAAGGGTCTTTTGCCCTGAAATCATTCTTCCACTAAAATCGACCACATCCTAGCTACTGACCAAAAAGCAAAAGTTTCGCTGGGGCCGGGCTTCGAACCAGGATCGTTCGCCTGGAAATCGAAAGCTTTACCATTTAGCCACCCCAATCTTGGTGGCCAAGTGGTTAGCTAGTTGCCTGCCACCCAAACGGCCCGAGTTCGACCCCCGCCGCGGTGAAGCTTTTTGCTTTTTGCTTACTTTGGTTATTTTTGCTTTTTAAAATTATTATATTTTTGTAAACCTACAGTAAGTATAAATGAATAGGCGACAGCGCAGACCACTGAGGCAAAAATCATGCATATCCCGACGATAATGTCTGAGGTCTCGGTCCGCTCTGATGCTACTGCGACGACCACTTCCGGGTCGATGCTGATCGGGGTGGTTAGTGACATATCTGAAAAGGACTTTTAACGCAATTTTGGGCACAATTTCTCTAGAACCATCAATTTTGGCTATAATTTTTGGAATCTCCATGCAAAACTACTTCGGACTACGCGTTAGAATGGTTTTTCGGAAGCGAGAGAGTAGAGAGACCGCGAGAGAAAGAAATTAGAATGAGAGAGAGAGAGCGTGAGAGAGAGAGAGTGCGTGGAGACAGTGATAGAGAGAGAGCTCGATAGAGACGATGAAAGAGAGAGAGAGAAAGAGAGATAGAGAGAGCGAGAGAGAAAAGAAAGAGACAGAGAAAGAGAGAGAGAGAGAGAGAGAGAGAGAGAGAGAGAGAGGAGAGAGAGAGAGAAAGAGAGAGAGAGAAAGAAGAAAAAACAAAGAAAACGCCGCTTACCCTTCTGAAAATTCCACTTTTTAAATAATTTCTTTTAACCCACCATGTCCTTGAGCAACGAATCGGCAGTACTAGTTGAACGTGCCAAAATCCGATAGACTACCATCTGACGGAGTGTGGACCTCAGGAGCTATGGCCCCATCGACGCAAATGCAATTCGACCGGCCGCCCTGTAATGGGGCCCCGTTAATGGATATTGCGTGCTGTTATGTCGATTCAATGGAAGGGCGGCGTGGAAACGAGAACTTCCGGTTCCATCGGATCGAGATACTACTCAAAAAGGGGGACATGTCGATTCCAGGAATAGAAGGGTAGTTTTCCAGGTAGGCTTAGGCTTATGACTGGGCTAAGCTATGACTATGACTCTATTATGGCTTTTTGCTTAGGGTAGGCTTAGGCTTGGGATGCGGCTTGGGCTTAGGCTTAGGTTCGGCGTAGGCGTGGCCTAGGCTTAGGCATCGGCTTAAGCATAGACTTAGACTTAGTCTTAGGCTTAGGCGTAGGCTCAGGCTTGGCTATGGGCTTAGGCTTCGGCTTCGGCTTAGGCTTAAGCATAATTTGCTGTAACGTTGCGAACAAAGCAGCCTCTAAATTGTACCTCCAGGAAACCACGCGCACGTCGAAGATGCTCTTTTGAAGGCTTCTCGAAAAGTGTGGAGGTTGGGCCGTTTTGAGGCCCCCCGAATTAAAAAATTCTAGGCCTATAATTATGACTGATCGCTTGGCTGCTCCCGGATTTTGCATTCCAGAAGGGAGAGAGACAGCGAGAGACAGAGAGAGTGTGAGAGAGGATGAGAGAGAGTGAGAGATAGACAGTCCTACTCTCCTGTGTTTACAAGAAATTGCCGATTTTTGCCTCTATCAGCTGCAGGGCT